GTACCTGATAGACTCTAGTCTCTACCAGGTAGACTAACCTGATAGACTCTAGTCTCTACCAGGTAGACTAGAATCTCTCCCAGGTAGACTAGAGTCTCTACCTGGTAGACTAGAGTCTCTACCTGGTAGACTAGAGTCTCTACCTGGTTGACTAGAGTCTATCCCTAGTAGACTAGAGTCTCTCCCAGGTAGACTAGACTCTACCAGGTAGACCCTACCTGTTAGACTCTGAACTCTACCAGGTAGACTCTACTTGTTAGACTCAAGACTCTACCAGGTAGACTAACCTGATAGACTCTAGTCTCTACCAGGTAGACTAGAATCTCTACCTGGTTGACTAGAGTCTCTACCTGGTTGACTAGAGTCTCTCCCAGGTAGACTAGACTCTACCAGGTAGACCCTACCTGTTAGACTCTGAACTCTACCAGGTGGACTAGACTCTACCAGGTAGACTCTACTTGTTAGACTCAAGACTCTACCAGGTAGACTAACCTGATAGACTCTAGTCTCTACCAGGTAGACTAGAGTCTCTCCCAGGTAGACTAGAGTCTACCAGGTAGACTAGAGTCTCTACCAGGTAGACTCTACTTGTTAGACTCAAGACTCTACCAGGTAGACTAACCTGATAGACTCTAGTCTCTACCAGGTAGACTAGAGTCTCTCCCAGGTAGACTAGAGTCTACCAGGTAGACTAGAGTCTCTACCAGGTAGACTCTACTTGTTAGACTCAAGACTCTACCAGGTAGACTCTAAACTCTACCAGGTAGACTAGAGTCTAGATCATCTAGACCTGCTAGAGTCTACCTGGTAGAGTCTAGAATCTACCAGTTTAGATCTAGTCTCTACCAGATAAACTATAGTCTCTACCTGGTAAAATCTAGATTCTACCACGTAGACTAGAGTCTATGTGGTAGACTCTACCTGTTAAACTCTAGACTCTACCAGGTACACTAGACTCTACCAGGTAGACCCTACCTGTTAGAATCTACACTCTACCAGGTAGACTAGACTCTACCAGGTAGACTAGAGTCTACCTGTTAGACTCTACGTGTTAGACTAGAGTCTACAAGGTAGACTCTACCTGTTAGACTCTACCTGTTAGACTAGAGTCTACAAGGTAGACTCTACCTGTTAGACTCTACCTGTTAGACTAGAGTCTACAAGGTAGACTCTACCTGTTAGACTCTACCAGGTAGTCTAGAGTCTAACAGGTAGACTCTAGTCTACCTGTTAGACTCTAGACTTTGAGACTCTAGGTACCTGGTAGACTCTAGACTCTAGGTACTCTAGGTACCTGGTACCAGTTGAGTCTCAAATTCTAGAGACCACTATGTAGAGCAGTAGTCCCTAACCCCCGGGCCGTGGCCCAGTACTGGTCCGTGAGTTGTTTGGTACCTGGCTGCACAGAAACAATAAAGAACACATTATTTTCATCATATTATTATTTGAGTCTGAACAATGGGCCTCATGTAAGAACCGTTGGTACGCACAGATTTGTTCTTAAGTTGTGCGTACGAGTGATTTAGGAG